ATGCATACATTCTTATAATTATTATTTCTTCTTGATGGATTGACTCTTACATTATTATTAAATGTCTTTTGTCGCTAACAACAATTTTAGTGGTAAGTTTATATTATGTGATATTAGTATAGCCTCTCTAGCTCTCCTTTCATTATTGTTTGCATGGTATATCATTTTCCATCCTTTTACTTTAAGCCTATGTGTGTCTTTGAATCTAAAGCATGTCTCTTATAGGCAACATATGGTTGAATCATATATTTTTTAATCTATCAATTGTTGCCTTTTGCTTGGAGTGTTTAATTCATTTAATGTGTTTACTGTGGTGAGGTAGGATGTATGTCTGCCATTTTGCTATTTGTTTTTATATATCTTAGCTCTTTTTGTTCCTCTGTTCCTCCATTATTATATTCTTTTTGTGAAATGGGTATTATCTAGTATACCATTTTAATTCCTTTATCATTTCTTTTTCTATTTTTTTAATTTTTTTAGTGGTTGTCCTGGAAAATACAATTAACATTTTAACTTATAACAGTCTAGTTAAGACTAATACCAACTTAATTTTAATAGTGTATAAAAGCTTTTGCTCCTCTATAGCTCCATTCCTTCCCCCCATCCTTTGTGCTATTATGTCATACAAATTGCATCTTTATACATTATAAGCCCATCAACAGTTTTATAATTATTGCTTTATACAGTTGTCTTTTAAATCAGATAGAAGAAAACAAGAGTTACAAACAAAACACACTATCTTTTTTATTTACCTATGTGGTTACCTTTACCTGTGCTTTTTACTTCTTCATGTAGATTTAGTTTACCGTCTAACGTCATTTCATTTCAGCCTTAAGGATGCCTTTTATTACTTCTTGTAGAGCATGTCTGCTAGTGATAAATCAGTTTTTATTTAACTGGAAATATCGTAATTTCTCCTCTATTTTTGAAGGATAATTTTGCTGGATATTGAATTCATGGTTGACGGTCATTTTTTTTTTTTCTTTCAGCATTTCGGATATGCCTTTCTAGTGCTTCTGACTTCCAAGGTTTCTGATGAGAAATCATCTGTTTATCTCATTAAGAATCCCTTTTATGTGAGGAGTAGCTTCCCGCACATTGCTTTCAAGATTCTTTCTTTGTCTTTGATTTTTGACAGTTTTATTATGATGTGTCTAGGTGTGGATGTTTTTGCATTTATCTGACATTATAATACAAAACAAGAAATTAATTGAGCTTCCTGGATGGGTTTAATATTTTTCATAAAATTTGGGAAATTTTCAGCCATTATTTCTTCGGATATTCTTTCTGTCCATTTTCCTCTCTCTCTTCTCCTTCTGGGACTCCCCATTATGCATATGTTGGTTTGTTTGATGGTGTCCTACAGGTTTCTGAAGTTTGTGCATTTTTCTTCATTCTTTTCCTTCTGTTCCTCAAACGAGATAATCTTAATTGATTTCATCTTCAAGTGTGTTGATTCTGTTTTCTGCCAGCTCTGATTTGATGTTGAGCTCCTCAAGTTAATTTTTCATTTAAGTTATACTTTCAACTCTATAATTTCTGTTTGTTTCTTTGTTGTAAATTTCTATCTCTATTTGGTAAGACGTTCACATACTTTCTTTTAGTTTTTTAGATGTGGTTTCTTTTAGTTCTTTGAACATATTTATAATAGCTGATTTAAAATCTTTGTCAACTAAGTCCAATGTCTGAGCTTCCTCAGGGACCATTTCTATTGGTGATTTTTTTCCCCTGTGTATATTCCATACTTTTCTATTTCTTTGCATATCTCCTAATCTTTTGTTGAAATCTGGACATTTTAATAATATAACTTGACAACTTTAGAAGTCAGATTCCCCCTTTCCCCAGGATTTGTTGTTGTTGCTCCTGTTGGTTTGTTTAGTGATTTTCCTGAACTAATTCCCTTAGTCTGTATTCTTTGTGTGGCCAATGAAGTGTCTGGTAGGTTAGCTTAGTGATCAACTAATGATTCTACAGAGAAATGTCTTAATAAGTCTCCCAGCCTTTGCTGAGGCACTCTGTGCATTTTGGAGTATCTCTTTAGTGCTCCAGCAGGCAGTTTATAACTGTGCCTTAGGCTTCACTTCCTCCTTGTACAGAGCATCAAAGTCAGCCAGTGGCGAGATATTAGGGCCTTCTCAGCTCTTTCCTGGCATGCACACTAGTGCTGCATATATGTGTGGCCTTCTTGGTTCCTAGGACTATGTCAGAGTTTCTCAAAGTCCTCTATGTTAACTATTTTTCTCTAACTTTTTCTTTAAAATTTTTTGTCAACTTCTTGTTTGCCGCAGCTGTTATTGCCACCTCAGGCAGGTGTAACCTTAAACAGTTGCCGTTGATTGTTTTTGACAAATGCCCCAGGGAGCAGACTGTCTGCAGTGAATGAACTCTGAGTCAAGTCAAGACAAGCTTGTGAGTAGGAATTTCCAGGGGATTGTCAGACAGATCAAATAATGACAGTTCTCTGGAGATGGAACTTTTGGGGAACACCAAACCTATTCTATACCCCTTCACCCCTCAATTATTGGTAAGCTACTAGTTTTCATGGCTACCATGTTTGTGAGGCTATTGGATTTTAAGGGTGCTGTGGAGCTGGGAAAAGGGGAATGGGAATAAGGCAAGTTAAAATGTTGTATAAGTCACTGTTCTTAACAAGATTCAGCTGATTTTCTTGAGTAAATACTCCTCAGATTATTGTAAGCCTTTGGTTAATTTCCAGAGTTCTTAAAAAGTTGATTTTGAATTTTTTTGCCAGTATTCTTATTGCTTTTATGGAGGAGTGATTTTTAGAATCCGTTTTGAAAGTACTTATCTTCCTCATTTGTCATTAATATTTTAAAAATCTTAGACATGTAACACAACTTCTTGTCTTCTGTTATTTCTTTTGAAAAATATTATCTGTCTTAGTCTTTTTGATTAGTAGATGTTTATTTGGTGCTTATTATGATATAGCAAAAAAGCACATATTGATGAATTCATTTTTGTCTTTATACTTCATATGTTGATTCATCTTTTTCTTATTCAGCATTTATTGAGCATTACTCTGTTCCATCAACTCTACTGGTTACTGGGGAAGAGACATAGGGCATGATCCCTGTTTCAGGGAGCTCTCAGTTTACTGGAGAAGATTAAGAAAAACTCAACAGTTATAAGAAAGCATAATATATGTTACAATAGAAATATTTACATGAGGCTGTGGAAGTTTCATCTTTGCATATATATCCTCAGGATCTGGCACACCATCATTTCTCACTTGAAATATTGCAGTAGCATCATCATCATCACATTATTATTATTATTGTTTTTGACCCCTCCATTATATGCTGTCATTGTACCCTCTTTTCCATTCACAGGTTTTATCAGAGAATTTGTATATTTGTAACTATGTATTTATTTTTGTATTTGTTTAATCTATGTCTGACTAGAATATGATCTCTTTGAAGAGAAAATCTGTGTCTTTTTGCCCAGAGTATGTCCTCATAGTAAATATTATATGAATTATTATATACATTATGTATACAAATATTTTTATAATTATAAATTAAATGTTATATAAATTATATGTATATAAATAATAAATATTCATAAATGTATTCATCAGTGAATAGAAAGCACTCAGGCAAAATATATATTAATCTGAAGTTACCTGAGAGGGTGCCCAAATCTACCATGCAGCAGTACTTCAACAACTGTGAAGGAGTAGTACATGTTAGTCAGACAGATGAAAAGGGGTGGGATATTCTAGGGTAGCAATAGTAATAGTAATATGTGGAAAGGCCCAGAAGCGTGAGAAAACAAGATTTAGGAGAGTAGTTCTCATACTTTTTGGTTTTAGTACCTTGTTACACCCTTAAAAATTATCAAGGACCCCAAAGAATTTTTTAGGTAATGTAGGTTATATCTATCAATATTTACTATATATATAAAAACCAAACCTGTTGCCGTTGAGTCAATTCCGACTCACATTGACCCTATAGGACAGAGTAGAACTGCCCCATAGGGTTTCCAAGGAGCAGCTGGTGGATTCAAACCGCCAGCCTTTTTTGTTAGCAGCCAAGCTCTTAACCAGTTTAGAAATTAAAAACATTTATTTATTTAAAAATAAAAAATAATAAACCCATTACATGTTAATCTAAATAACATCTTTTATGGAAAATAATTATATTTTCCAAAACAAAAAAGATGAAAAAAGTGGCATTATTTTATATTTTTGCAAATTCCCTTACTGTTTGGCTTAATCAAAGACAGCAGTTGGCTTCCCGTGTTTACTTTTTCATTCAGTCTTTTGTAATACGTTGTAATAGTTGAAGTCTGTATAATGAAAATCTGGCCTCATTCAGATATATAGTTGGAAAAAAGAGGATTATTTTAATAGCCTTTAAGGTAATTGTGGATATTCTTCTTTAATATTACACTTTAGATTAATGTGTTAGTTGCAATATCAAACCAGAAAACACACCAATGAATGTTAATTATTATATTAAAATCCACTGGTCTACCTTGCATCCTGAATATATCTTTTACCTGTGTATGCTTCTGTAACATCATGCATTGGTCATTTGGAAAATATGACAATACATTTCATTATACAATATAAAAAAATATTTATTATCAACACCAGTCTCATCAGAAAAGTCCTTGAGTATTGAGAAGTTGTCAGGGCTCAAGGTGGTGGACACGATTATCTAAAATTCTATATTTTTGCTTGAAAGCTGGAATTTTGTCATTGACTACAAATACTGTCAGTTGGTTTCCTTGAAGTGAGAGGCTCACTTTGTTCATTTTCAAGAAAATGTCAGCCTAATACCCAAGTCTGAATAACCATAGTTATTCAAGAGTAGAGGTTAATTAACTTGCCCAAGATCACATAGCTAGTAAGTAGCAGAGCTAGTACTAGAGACTGTGTCTTTCTGATTCTATTATGCCTTATTTCCCCGTGTCTAAATTATTTAGGACTTACCAGAGCATGTTCTTACAATAGTGTATTGTGGTATTTTTCCTAGAGAGCATGAATGGTTTAAACAAGATTTGCCCAGTTACTTATTTCCTGAAGACCCCTCCTATGATGCTAACGTCATTGATGATGAGGCTGTGAAAGAAGTGTGTGAAAAATTTGAGTGTACAGAATCAGAAGTAATGAACAGTTTATATAGTGGTGACCCTCAAGACCAGCTTGCAGTGGCTTATCATCTTATCATTGACAATCGGAGAATAATGAACCAAGCCAGTGAGTTCTACCTCGCCTCTAGTCCCCCAACTAGTTCTTTTATGGATGATAGTGCCATGCATATTCCCCCAGGACTGAAACCTCATCCAGAAAGGATGCCACCTCTTATAGCAGACAGCCCCAAAGCAAGATGTCCATTGGATGCACTGAACACGACGAAACCCAAACCTTTAGCTGTGAAAAAAGCCAAGTGGCATCTTGGAATTCGAAGTCAAAGCAAACCGTATGACATTATGGCTGAAGTTTACCGAGCTATGAAGCAGCTGGATTTTGAGTGGAAGGTAGGACATTGTAGTGCATTAAGATAATTTGTAGAAACCATTTATCGTATATAGTGAGCTGTTGAACTGCTGAGTTGAGTATTAAGGTCAGTAAAAAGTTGTTTTTAATTTAGATATAAATTTAGTGGTCTTGATACTTCTGGCTGATGAATCCCATTATTTCTAATAATACACTGTGTTCATTCAAAACAAAAGAAATGAACCTCTATAAGCATGAAAAGCTGATGATGTTGTGGACCTACCTATTTTGAATTGTAAAATAGCATTCCTGGCCAAGAAACAGTAACCAGCTTGAAATCACCTGACAAAATAGCCCATGCAGCATCACAACAAAAAGTCCCGAGTCTTCACAGATAGTGTGCTTTCATGTTCTCTCTTTTTTAAATGCAGTTTGTTTGTTTGCTTGTTTTTTTGGTGACTGTGACAGCTAGTAGTCAATACAGAGTATACCAACAGCACATGTTTATTCAGTCAGTAACTACTTTTCTCTAGACTGAGAAAAACTCTTATTTGACTGGTGCTTTTATCCTTAGTTATGGCATATTTTCCTTACTCTCAGCTCACATTTTACTTTTAAAAAAAAATTAGTAGTTAATTTCAATTCTATTTGAATATATGTGGGAGGGAAAGCATTTTTTCATTTCAGATGCCTCCTTCCCTCTTGTTCCTTTTTTGTGGACTATGAAATTTATTTTGAACTAACTTGTTATATGTTTTGAAAACCCAGAATTATCATCTATACTACAGTTTTCTCAATAAATACCTACTTCACAGCATTATTGTGATACATAAATTTTGTGACAGTACCTGTTACAGTGCCTGATATAAGCCATTAATGTTAGTTCCACTTTATTCCTTCTACTCCATATTTATTAGGTGAAGGTGTCCAAGCAGAGGCTGGACAACCAAAATTATTATTGATGTTTTAGAGTAGATGTATATCTGGAATGAATGTTATTAGACTGTATATAATCTCTAAATTTCCTTTAGATTTTAATTGCTATACACTAAAAGTGCTATAGTATTTGGGGATTAAACAAATACTAGAGTAAACTGTTGTTGGTTACCATTGAGCCAGCCCCCGACTCATGGCGACCCCGTGCACAACAGAATGAAACACTATCTTAGTCCTGCGCCATCTCCATGATCAGTTGCAGACTGGATTGTTGTGATTCGGGTTTTCACTGGCTGATTTTTGGAAGTAGATCACCAGGCCTTTCTTCCTACTCCATCTTAGTCTAGAAGTTCTTCTGAAACCTGTTCCGCATCATAGCAACTCACAAAACTCCACTGACGGTGGTAGCTGCACATGAGGTGCATTTGTGGGGAGCTGAACCCAGATCTCCCACAACGGAAGGTGAGAATTCTACCACTGAACCATCAATGCCTCCAAAGTAAACTACCTATTTTAAAAAAAAAAAATCATTTAGGAATTCCTTCCCTACTCCCAACCCTATCAGTTATTTGTTTTTTACATTCTTTGCAATAAGAAAGGAAGCATTTTGTAGTTTGGTATTTTTATTGTTTTTTCCTAAAAGAGGATTTCTCATTTTAGGTGGTGAATACATATCATCTTCGGGTAAGAAGAAAGAATCCAGTGACTGGCAATTATGTGAAAATGAGCTTACAGCTTTACCTGGTTGACAACAGAAGCTATCTTTTGGATTTTAAAAGCATTGATGGTAAGAAGCTATGCAGGCATGAGGTTCGAAAAGATAAACCTTGGCACCAGTTGACAAGATATTAAAATCATTTCAAAGGCATGGTGGGTCTTCTATCCTAGTTTTTAAGTAATCTAGATTTAACCAAAATATAAGTGAAATGAAAAGAACTGAAGACATGGGGAATATAATTTACTCAAAAGAAGTGCTTCCTTGGCATAAAAAAGTCATTTGAGTGTTGACGGCAGAGAAAAAATAAGGAACAACAGGAAAGCAATTTTTATCTACAATTGGCTGATGTTTTCAGGCTCTTTGTACCATTTCTCCACTCATATTCTCTTACTGTTAGCATTGTAATACCTGAACTTCCTCCTTTGTCAGTATTCCTCATCTCAGTGGCCCAAAGTGACGAAATAGACTAGTCCTGGAATTTGGGTTGGACTTTGGTACCCATAGTAATCTAGGAGCCAAAGGAGTCAGGGAAAGTGGCCAGGCCCAAGTATTTAGTGTGTGCCAAGAGTCAAACCTGGGTCAAACAAATATGATGATTCAGTTCAGAGGCCCAAGTGGGATAAAAACAGAATGAACCAAGGGTCAGGTGCTGGGTGGACAAAAGTGGAAATGAATTTAGACTTTGGGAACTTGTTTTAAACCGAAATTTTAATTTTATTTTTGAACTGCCACCAGTTATAACAGTGCTTGTATGTCCCCAGACTACTTTCATGAAAATTACCTAGCGTCCTGATTAAACTGCAGATTTTTGGGAATCACCCCAGACCTATCAAAATATAATCTATGGAGATGGGTTCTGGGAAGCTTGGAATCTACATTTCTAACAAGATTCCCCCACCACCGCCACCCTCCAACCCCCCCCCGCCCAGGTAATTCCAATATGCAGTGAAGTTTCAGAACCACTTGCTAGTATGTTTGTGGCTCACCGTGATTATATAGTGGTTAGTACTCTCCATTGTGGCCACGGCAACCTTGGTTCGAATCTGAGTCATGGCAGTGTCTGGCACTTGTTTTAGAGAGCCCTCGTGGCACAGTGGTTAAGAGCTACAGTGAGCTACAGCTACTAACCAAAAAGTCAGCAATTTGAATCCACCAGTGGCTCCTTGGAAACCCTATGGGGCAGTTCTTCTCTGTCCTATAGGGTCACTATGAGTCAGAATCAGCCTGACGGCAATGGGTTTTTTTTTTTTTTTTTTAGTTTGGTAAGATGGTAGCTTTTGTTTTTATCTTAATTTTTTTTGTTGATACACAGCAAGAAAACAAGCAGCCAAGGATGTGCTTTCTTCAAGGTTTGATTTCAAGGTTAACGACCAGTACTACGTTGAGAAAGATTTAGGCCACATTTTGTCTGTGTGGAAATGTGATTGATTAGTGTTGTCGGCCATGATTGCAGGAGGGAAGAGGTATTGCCACTTCTACTCCTAAAATACTGAAATGGTGACATTCATTATAGAGTGGCTCCAACACAGATATATTTGCTTACTTCATGTTCTGACTATAGCAATTTCATAGAGGGGCTGGAGCAAATACACCTTTCATAAAATTGTTTTTCGGTCCCATTTCAGATGAAGTGGTGGAGCAGAGGTCTGGTTCCTCAACACCTCAGCGTTCCTGTTCTGCTGCTGGCTTACATAGACCAAGGTCAAGTTTTGATTCCACAACTGCAGAGAGCCATTCACTTTCTGGCTCTCTTACTGGCTCCTTGACCGGGAGCACGTTGTCTTCAGTTCCACCTCGCCTGGGCAGTCACACCATGGATTTTTTTGAAATGTGTGCCAGTCTGATCACTACTTTAGCCCGTTGATGATCTGTCTCTAGTCTCTGTCTTTCTGTTATTGCACTGTGAAAATCATATATATTCTTGAAATTATTATCTTACTCACTACTGGGTATCACATACTCTGCAATACTAATTGAGAGATACAAATATCTCTAGGTGACAGTCAATGCCATTGAAATAACTGAAAACAAAAAAATGTGACATTTGATTTACCTGCTGAAACCTGTAATTCTGTTTTGCCTATGATAAGTTCACATAGGCAGCTTCTTTAAGAGGTGAACAATAATGCAGATTATTGTTAATTTAAAATTGTCACTTCACTGCAGTATGAGTAACACACTTTCAATGATGACCCATCTCAATCTGAGGGTTTGGCAACACCCCCTTGCTTTATTGTTTGGTATAGGTAAATCCAGTTTATTTCCTAAAATTCAGCAGGCTTTAAGCTATGTTTATGCCTCCCGTTCTCTTGCACAAGGTAAAAAATAAAGCAACCATTAGTAAGATAGTATGTAAATGTTGAAATCTTTAAAAAGACTGACCTCAGAATTTCAGAAGCTAAGTTCTTCTAGCAGTTTTTGCAAATACTGCCTAATGTTCGGTGGAAGGGCTGTGGTCCTTTAAAAGGTTACCACAATTTCCAAGTTCCTTAAAAACAGCTTTAACTAACTCAGGGTTTTGAGATCTCCCTGAACAATGTATTGGAACATCTGGAGTTGCAACAAGTTTTGTCTTTTCTATAAACTTCACAAGCCTTCAAAACCTACCTTTCTCAAATTCTTTTTGGTTCTGTTTAATTTTGCACTTCACCAAGAAGGGTAAAATGGTTAAATGAAACAAAAAATAGCAGTGACCTCTTAAAAGAAAACTCTTATCTTTGTTCTCTTACTGAGTGTGCATGTGTATGTGTTTGTGGGGAGTGTTAGGGTTCTCTTGCATCCCACAATGCTAATTCTTTTTTGGAAATTTGAGTTTGTTCTTGCAACTCCCCAGACCCCCAACCTTCCTTAGTCACCGTTGGTTTTGTTCATTGATTGATCCTCAGTGGTTGAGTGACTTAGCTTTTAAATCTTATCTTCTTCCCTTTCCTTGTTCTCTATCTTGGTTGCTAATCATTCAATTTGAAAACACTGTTCTGGCCCTGAGGGCCTTTGTGTCCTTCCAAAGCTTAATAGGCTGTGACCTTCACTGTTGCACCTGATAGGGCAGGGAAGCCTTAAAACATTTTTAAAAAATTCTCTTGAATAAATATGTGTGTTGTTTACATATATACATATATGTATTCACACATCAGTGCTTTTAAAGGAAAACCAAACAGGTTTTGTTTGATTTGCTTCGTACAGGTTATTTTTAAGGTTAAAAAAACAAAACAAAAACAACTATATACAGCAGAGTAGATAATAGCTAATTGCTTATTTTTTGTTTTAGTAAAAATATTTAATTTTTAAATTATGTGTAATTTATCTAATTTGTATTTATTAATTTAATATAGTTAACAATCACATTCACCAGACTTACCTAGAGACGATTAAGCACTTAAAAACAAAAAGTGGCATTGCCTCGACGGGTTTATCTTTGCCAAAAATAATGTATTTTCTACCAAGAAGCAAATGAGAATGTTAGACCAAATTTCTCCTGGGTTTATTTATGGAAGACAAGTATTTTTATCTTTAAATAGTTTTTGAATGAAGAGATTGCATTGTGTCACCTACTCATATTGTTTTGTAGAACTTTTAAAAAATGGTGTTAAGTAACTTGTAAGTCCAACTTCTTAATATCAAAATAAAAGGAATCCTTATTTGTCAATTTGGGAAAGAGGGCAGGGGTTGCCATTTGAGATGTTTTGATTTTAACCTTTGAAAGGTTGCCATCTAGTGGCATCAAGGGGTACTTTTTAGTGTTTTTTTGTAAAATAGGGGTAAGCAGTCCTGTCCCCATGAGTTGAACTGACTCAGTGACAACAATAACAAGAAGCAGTCCTGCTAGAGCCCCTGGGTGGTGCATACAGGTAAGCGCTCCACTACTAGCCGAAAGGTTGGTGGTTTGAACCCACCCAGAGGCGCCTTGAAAGACAGACCTGGTGATCTCCTTCTCAGAGGTCACACAGAGCCTTGAAAACCCTATGGAGCAGTTCTGCTCTGCACACGTGGGGTCTTCATGAGTCGGAGTTGGCTCAATGGCGACTAACAACGACATGCAGCCCCGTGGCGGTAGTCTGATGTGCATTGCAGATATGGCATAATTTTGGCTTCTCCAAATGTGTAAATACCTCTTTTGGGAAAAATAGGGCCACTTCATAATATCTGCCTGTGAATGGAATGACCTGAGAAATAAGGAATTAATCTGATTCCTTATCCCCAAGGACAACATCCACAATTTTGAAGGTGGAGAACAAGCAGGAAGGAATCCAGTGGCATTTTAGCTTCGTTAGTCTAATAAATCACATATTAGAAACTTAATCATATCAAAATTACTTTTAATATGAATGATTATCATATAAATCATCATGCACAACTTGATAGTTACCTGTTGAATCTTAGGAAAACCAAGGGTCTCGGTTTTGGTTCTTGTATGTTGAAGTTTTTAAAGCACAACCATTCTGTAAATCTAGATGGTATAGGAAATTGGTTTGTAGAGAGATTTCAGGAGGTTCAGTCCAGTACAATAGGAACTTTTTGTTGCTGATGGGCAGGGAGAGGGAAAGAATCAGTTGCTAACTCAAAATTACTTCCTACATTTCAATCTTGTAAACTGGTTAATTGTGGATATGGGTAGATAGATCTGGAACAATTCATCCAGTTAAGATTCTGGAAGAGAGCTTCTATTATTAGGTTATAGACAAGACCTTGACTATGTCATGAAAATGGACTCCATTTGGTTCTAGAATAGCATTCCCAGAATGCTCTGCAAACAAACAAAAAAAAAAGATTCCATTAAGTTTGGAAAATGTTCCATGCTATAATCCTGCTTGAGGATGACAATATGTATGAACAGTAGGGGCTTTGAGAAGTCCTTCCATGACTTTGTTTAACCCTGCTTTTCCCAACTTGATTTAACCATAAAAACTTTTTTTTTTTTTTAATTTAATATCCCACGGGATAAGGCAAATTTGGAAAATACTTTTTTAGGAAAATTGCTGTCACAAGTTGCCATAACTAGGGAAGTTAAGAATGAAATTAAGATAGCACTTCCTTTGCTTTCCTTTATCAGTTGTTATAGAGAATCTGGTTGAAGGAAGGTCAAAAGCATTTCATTTTAACCTGAGGACATGTCCATCTTGAGCGTATGTAAGACTAAGTAGAATTTTATATGTTTGCAACTTGTTTCATAGCACCTTGATTTACTTAATCAGGTGGTGGCATTGTTTGGGAGAATTTATTTTTTGTGTGTGTTGATGGATGACTGAGAAACCTTAAACAAGATTGCTTATAAAAAGGAATAAGGGGCTAGTGACTCAGGCTTATGGCTCTATGGGTAATGGACATACCATTGACTTCCAAAATTTGTACAGTCATTGAACATTTTCTAAATTCTTTTATATAGGACACTGTATTTAGATCTAATTCCTGTCATCCTTTAATGTAACAACAGACTACTTCTCAAATTGAACATGCAAGGAGGGAGATAGGCAGATTGTTACAAGTTGGGTACTTTTTGTTTGTTTTGCTCAACAAACCTTTTAACAGACACTTTTATAAGCCCTAGTATTTGCATTCCTTGATACTAGCTGGTTATAAAGAGAATTCAGGATCCTAAACTAACGAGAAATAATAGTGTCTCTACTGTCAGGGAATTCGTAGAAAAGACAGTTCTCCATTTTCTGCAAATAGATTTTCCATGACAATTACATGATTCAGGGCTTGCTTTCTCTTATTCCCTAGCCAGTTTATACTCAAGGAATACAAATTGACTTTTAATATTAGATGAGATATAATTTAGAACATAATTATGGACAACTATAACAGATCTTTTGACTCGCTGGATTTATCTGTAGCCTCTGTTAATGTGGAGTATACTGAGTTAATATAAGCATCACGTTTTCCATTTATAAACTGTAAAAACTTGGAACATGCCCACCACAGACACTGCATCTTAGTCTGTTCACTGGTTAATAATTTAAATCCTGTTAGTTGCTACGAAATCTTAATATCTAAATGCTAGTCTAGTTCATAGTTTTGTTTGTTGGTTTTTAAAGACCCAAACCTTTCAGTCTGGCATTTCTTTAGCAGATTGCCACCCTGTGACTTTTTAAATAGGAAATGTAATTTATTTTAACAGTAGTTCTCAGAGATCTATCTTTATTAAAAACTCTGGATGAGGAATAAGTCAATCTGTTGGCAAGTCACACCCAGTGTTGAATCTCATTTTTGTAACCCCTAAAATGAGAAGGATAGATTAAAAGACCTTCAGAGTCCCTGGGCGGCACAAATGGACCCTATATAGTGCAGTTCTACACTACATACATGGGGGCGCCATGAGTCGGAATAGACTCAATGGCAACTAACAACAACAACATGGTACTTTTGAACTTTAAAGTTCTGCGTTTTCATATGATTTGTGTTAGTGTTTCCTTTTATATCTTTTTAGTTAGAGTTTTTATACTGCTGTGAATGTTCTGTGTTTATTTGGTGAGGCATTTTAAAGGTAAATACTTGAAATCTTTCTAAATACAGCTGCCCTCTGGAATACAAATGGCAAAAAATCATTCAGCAAACCAAGCATGTTAAAGTATGATGTCCACTTGGCAGATAACACATAAAGCAAAGCATTACTAATTTGGAGTGATGAACACGTTTCATACATTTTAATAGTGAGTTTTAGATCCAGAGCCCTTCGATATCTATGAGGTCATTTAATACATTACAGTAAGTTTGTGAGGTAACCAGAAAAGGTATTGTCACATTTTCCAGATGAGGAAGTGGGATTAGAAAGCTCTTCATAAAGCTCTTATGCCATGTAAGTGTTCAGCAGTGGTAAGTTCTCTTTAGCAAACCACCCTTCTTGGGAAGAACAGTCTAAATTAATGAAACATCTGAGTAGTTGAGTAATAAAAATATTACAGATGTATTGCTTTCAAGTCTTAGAGTGATATAAAGTAGTCTTAACTAAATATAGTTAAATTATTTGAACCACTTGATTGTACTAACTAGGTGTAATTGTCTGAAGTATTTATGATTAGCATATTAATTTTTATAAGTACTTCTAAGTTATTGAGGGTGCTTAAAAAAACTGAAAAAACTTTCTAGGATATGATTCTTCCTGTAATTTTATTTACATGATTGTTATAGCACAATCTTTTTAAAAAAGGAAACTTAGCCCCATCCTATATCTAAATTATTATAGTTTTTTATTATCTAAATTAAGTTTATCTAAATTGATAATTTTTCATTTTGTATGCATATTATGTAACACTTTTCATAGCGTTTATTCCTATTCATGAACTGCTTAATTATTATCAGCTTGATATCCCCTAAACCTTATAAAACTTTGCAATATAATTTATGTTTGAAGAGCCTTAAAAATTATATAAAATCTTATTTAAACAAGTTGCTGGAATCCTTACTATAATTATGATGCATTTGATGCCACTGAGCAGTAATAGCATGAAGAACAGGACCCACAGTCTAGACCAGATTGAGTTTTAATTAAACTTCTTCAGCTATAGCCTGATACGAATCAGGCTGAGTCTAGAAGTTATCAGACTGTGGACTTGCATTAATTTTGTGAGCCTGTTAATGTTTACTGCCAGCCTTGCATAGCAATGCCAGTTTGCAGTTATGACTGTGTATGCGAGTTTTGGTAACTATGATTTGTATCTAAAGTAGTTTCGATTTTATGGAAGTAACTCATGATTATTTGCACAAGCAGGGTAGTAAATTCCAATTATAAAATTAAAGTGCAATTAAGGAAATCTTAGAGCACTCTTTCCAGGAAAAAAAATAAAGTTATCATGAAAACTTTTTTGAACATACATAGAATTTTGACAAGGTTAACAATTATTCTAGGTTTACTACTTTGTGTTGATTTAAAATTTTGAGGAGGAACAGGAACATTCTAGCCAAGAAGAATTGTATGGTTAATTTTTTGCTCTAATTTTAAGCGTGCATTTTTTTATAGCTAAAAGTTCCTTTTAAGTAAGTTTTGTTACAAAGGCCATTTTTATAGATAACATTTACCTGAATGGAAAAGAGAAATGTTTCTATTGTTCTAAAATTCAAAACAGAACAAAAACTTAAATTGTGCCTTCTCTTTAAATTATAGGGACAGTAATAATTAGTCAAAAACTGTTTGAACTGTGTTTTCTTTACTTGTTTTCTGATTCCCCTCATTTTTCCCTAGATCTGCCCCCAACAAATGATCAAGTTGTTTGCTTTTGCCTGTTTGTCTTCAGGTTCCTTTGGCCAGACCTCACCTTATCACTCTCAGAAGTTGTTCACTAAATGTATTTGTCTAATTTCTTTTATGTTGCTTTGCTTTTTAAGTCGCCGTGGTAAAAGTTTGGTTGCCTTCTTATGTTTTTAAAATGAATGCAATGAATAAGCGATTTTTATATGTCAACACTTTAAAACATTTGTTAAAAAAAAAAAATATTGCAGAGCTAAGAACAATCTGATTCTGAATTTGGTTGCTGTGGCAGCAGCAGGTCACATAACCTCATTTAGTTTTCTCATCTACAAAATGTGGATAATACTTAACCTACCTCACAGATGTGTGTGAGAAACTTTGGAGGGCCCTCTTTAAATGCAGGGTTTATCATCCCCATATTTAATTTAAATCTATTTCTTTTTAAAAATACAGATATCTTTGATATTGACAGGATGAGTACCTTGAATTTTAGGTGTGTCTTATGTGGTACTTTAATGTAGTGGTAAAAATGTTTAAGACCACAGCTTCACAATTATGGCATTCTTATTTTAAATGACTGCTTTTTAATTTCTTAAAAACATCAAATATCCAAATATCAAACTTGTCTTTTGCTGTGCAAATATTCAGAATTTCTTAAAGTGTTGGCTGAAGCTGCCTTAATGTACCAAAATACAGCTTTCTCTCAAGACTGTTCACAAACCTCTATGGCTGTACAGTGTTTTGAGTGTTTATTGTAAAATTGTTATAGAACTGTGAACTCTAAACCGTAATCATGATATTGTTTGAGGAAGAGTGGTTGTGTTCTCTATATGCTTAAATATCACACAGTGAATTTTGAGTGCAACAAATAAAACTGAAAGTTGACAGCCATTAGGTTATGTCCATGGCAATCATAAGATAATGTAAGATCTGACATTAATTATTCAATTTTTTTTCCGAGAACATCCTGCATTCGTTCTTTCTTAGCCCATCTTGGAAAAAAACATCCCATATATTAGTCCATTGGAACACTTGATCACATATTTATTTTAAAAACTTTTAACTGTTGAAATCGGGGACCACTTTTTATAATTGGTTTTAGGGAGGTGGAAAAAAAGACCAGATTTCCAGTGCTTTTGTGTTTTAGTAACCATAGATTCGAATTTCACTTTTGTTAATGTACTTTTTTTGGGTGTTAAATGATCAGTGGGAAGGATCTGTCTTCCAGTAGCTATGTGGGAAAGATGTTCTTGAATTACATAGCATTCTGCAGTTACAGGTTCTCCCTGGTTACTATTCACACTGCATGAAACTCATAGGTAACAAACACAAAAGAGAAAAGCAGCTTATCTGATTGCTTATGAGCTCCCCCCAACACACACACACACACAAAATTAAAGACTCTAATTAATGTGGAAGCTCCTTTTGTTTTTAGTCATTAACTTAATATTCTTCAGGTCAACTCATACATACTAATACAGAGGAAGCTGTTACAGAAAAAGATGGCCTATGACTCATGGAAGATTTCACACCATCTTTGTCTATTTTTGTCCTCTTTGTTGCACATTGTAGTTTCTAGCATTAGCCATGGTATTGGTTTTCTATTGCTATCTTAACAATATTATAAACTTGGCTACTTAACACAAATGTGGTATCTTAGAGTTTTGTAAGTCAGAAGTCCAGTGGGCTTAGTTGGTGTCTCTGCTTCAAGTCTCACAAGACTGAAAACCAAAGTGTTGGCAGGGCTAGGGTGTGGGGGAGAATTGACTTCCAGGCTCATTCAAATTGTTGGCAGAATTCAGTTCCATACTGTTGTAGGATTGAGGTCCTGATTTCCCTGCTGGTTGTTGGCTGGGATCATTTGTAGCTTCTGTAGGCCACCTGTATTCCCTGCCCATTGCTCCCTTCATCTTCAGAACTAGGAATAGTGGGCTCATGCTTCGAATCTCACCTGCCTCTTCCACTTTCACCACATCTCTCTGACTGGCTAGCTGACTCTTCTGCCTTCCTCTTCCACTCTTAAAGGCCTGTGTGATTAAATTGGGACCACCCAGATCATTTAGCCTAATCTACCTATTTTAAGGTTGTCTTAGGCTGAGTTCTCTAGAGAAACAAAACCAGGGAAGCATATATATATATATATAGAGAGAGAGAGAGAGAGAGAGAGACAAATTTATCTCAAGGAAATCGCTCATACAGTTGTAGAGGCTGGCAAGTCCCAAGTCCATGGGTCGGGTGCCAGGCTGAAGGCTTTTCCTGACTCATGTAGCTGCAGGGGCTGATGAACCCAAGACCGACAGATCAGATGGCAGGCTGCTGGCTCGCAGGCTGCTGGTTCACAGGCTGTGAAGGTTGGTGAATCCCAAGAACGGCAGGTAAGCTGCTAGCTCAAGTCCCAAGAACCAGAGGTGAGACGATGAGCCGGATACAGGAACATCCATTTATATACTAGAGGCAGGCCACACCCCCAAGGAAACTCTGTTTCAACTGATTGGCTGCTCATAGCAGATCTCATCACAGAGTTGGTTACATCATTACATAACTACCAAACTACATCATAACTGCCAAACCACTGAGAATCGTGGCCCACTCAAGTTGACATACGTGCTTAACCATCACAAGGGTCAACAGGGATTAGGAACCTTAATTGTATATGTAAAGTCCTTTTTGCCATGTCACGTAACATATTCAGAGGCATAACACGAGGGGTGAAGATCATGGAAGCCAAAATCCTGTTTACCACGGTCATAGAACAGGAAAGACCTAGAAGTCCTTAGGCTAATAGAATTTTACAGTAGAGGCTGCTGAGAAGAGGGAGCAAGCAACACAGATGTGATCCTCCGTACTTAAAAGTCTTGCCTTCCATATTGATATATCTAAAAGCAACTTTTTGAAAATCATTATACTCTAACCCTCATTGTGAAAAAGATGTAATATCAAAATCAGAATATGTAAGTAAATACTTGAATTTGCTTTGTCCAAAGTTTTAACAATGGATTTGTTTGTTTTTATTAGTGAAAATGTTTCCTTTATTTCCTAAATAGCAAAGATAATGGATGCTTATTTTAGGAAATTTGAAAAGTACAGGAAATTTAAAGCTGAGAAAACCCTCGTCCGTAACTGTGCTACCAAGAGGCAGTTACTTCGGGATTTTTGTCTTTATATATTCCTCTTTTTTTCCTCTTCCTGTTCTTCCCCCTAGAATATATGTTTTAAAAGTTCTGAGGATGTGCAGGAGAGGGTCTGGTCAAGAGGAGGCTGTCATCTTTCAAAGTCCAGGTGTTTCATAGAGGACTTAGAAGGAGGAAGGGAAAGCTTTATTGGTGCATGGTAAAGTTGTTCGAGGCCTGGCCTATAAATGAGTTTAGGAGTGGGTCAGTGTTAGTCTGTTAGGGTAAAGTGGCTTTGTATGCTGCCTCTTATCTGACAATATTATTTTTTTCCGATATCTTTTTATACAAAATTAAAAGTAAAATAGAGACTCAGTCTTTCCATTGAAGATTAGGGTTTCTAAGAGACAATAGGCATCTGCTTGGGACATCACTAATGTCTTATTTACGGTATTTACATTAAAAAAAACCTTGCAGATCAATAATGTGAAAAACTTAGTTTGAATGCTGTGATCTAAAAAATGGAAGAAACGTGGCTGATATTAGGCAGAAACATGTTAAACAGAAACATAACCACACTGAGTAGGGATAGAATGGATAGAAATACAGTAAAGCCTGCGAAAGCCGGAAACTGTATGGCAGAAACCTGTCAGAGAAGGCAAACTCAAATATTTTCCACTAAAACAAGTGATAGAAAAGTGGTACAACTGCACCCTGTCAAATATGGAAAACTTGTGAGACCTGGAAAAACAAGGCAGTCCCAGTAGGTTCCGGGTCTCACTGTAGTTATTTTTTCCTAAAGTCTTACACCACATTAATAAATAGTGACGAAGTAGTAGTTGCATTGGGCAGATCTGCTGCAAAAGACCTCTTTAAAGTGTTAAAAAGCAAAGAAGTCACTCTGAGGACTAAGGTGCACCTGATCCAAGCCATAGTATTTTCAGTTGCCTCATATGCATGAGAAAGCTGGACAATGAATTAGGAAGACTGAAGAAGAACTGATGTCTTTGAAGTATGGTGCTGGGGAAGAATATTGAATATGCCATGGACTGCCAGAAGAACCAACAAATCTGTCTTGGAAGAAGTACAGCCAGAATGTTCCTTAGAAGCCGGAATGGCGAGAATTTGTCTCACTTACTTTGGACATGTTATCAGGAGGGACTATCTTAAATTAAGGCCTAATATCGTTTGCCTAGAATACTGCAAATACAAGTAGTCTCTCCTCTATCCTGTGATATTGCTGTAATTGTTTCTTTTCTCCCTAAACATCTGGCATTGCCTTCCTGCTTAAAACCCTCGATGACTCCCTGTCTAGACGAAAAAGTCCAAGTTCCTTAGCATAGTATGTGAACTCAGTCACATTCTATCGCCAATTTACCCCATTCCAAACAGTTCTTACAACTTTCCACCAGACATACTGCACTGCAGTTTACCCTGAATTTCTTCCTAGTCATCATACACAGCATGGATTTGCCATCTCTGTGCCTTGCCTACCAAATATTTAAAGACCAAGCTTTAGTGTCACCTTCTCTGTAAAAGCATTCTTAAGCATTTAGATATCCCATTCATACCTTGCTTATTATAATTATATTAGTTGTAATAAAACTCTTTACCTGTCTCCCTCTTTAAACTCTGAACTTTGTAAATATCTTTGATTCTTGAGTGTCTTCTAGAATATGCTATGCTTTTTATTGGTAAGTGCCATTTGGAACTTGAAAAAGAAGATAAACTAGAAGCTTAAAAAATATTTCAAGTAAAAAGGATGAGGCTATGGCAACAAATTCCATCCCACCCTTTAAGACCAGAATCACCCTGCTTAAAGAACTGAGCAAAATTCTTTAGTTTTTCAATGCTGAAGAAGCCACTTCAAATTTTTAATAACCGTTGAGTGTGAATGTAGAATTTATCTCATCTTTGTGCATTATTTAAAAAGAAATAGACTAAATGTTATTTGTAGCTCAGCTTTTTTATTTTTTCTTTGCTTTATATAAAAGAAAAATACATACAAATTCTATTTGAATAACTAGGTGTTCAGATACAGGCAAAACTGACAATTTTCCTTATTTTGAGCAACAGGATGTTTTAAAGTGATACAGTATATATACTATTTAGATTTTATTAACTGTAGTTAGACACTTAAAATAATATTTGATGGATTTAGGAATAAATTACTTTTCAGCAGACTATTCCCAAAAGAAACCAGTGTTGAGCAGCATTTTTTTCTGGTTTTATTTTTGTGATAAATCAGAGGGACACTACTATACTTTGGTTTTTAAAGACTGAGCCATAATCATTTTAAGGTTATATCTTAAATTTGAATAATTAAAAAACTGTAGTTAGACTATTTACTGTTCAGAATTAAATTACACCCAATTTAAATGCACATCTTCTAGAAAAATTCAAACAATAGTGTACTAATATTAGAGGCAAACTAACCATCTGCACAACTGACTAGGTGCCATACGGCATGATTTCTGACTTTGGGTATGGCTCATTAAACAAGGGTGCAAATGCTGACACACACTGTTTCACATTCTCTAGAGCCAGCAGTGAAATAGATAAGCAAAATGGACATTGAAAGATAACATTTTAGGAGTCAAACTGACATCTAAATGTAGAGGATTTGTTTTTTGTTTTCTAAATTCCAAGTGAAAAGTTTCCACAGGTTTCACCATCTCATTTTGGCACGCAAACTGAAACTCACGTGAGGCAGGACTAAGATCTTAGAACTAGTTCTTATTTGTGAAGCCCATACCATTGGATGGTGATCTTCCTAAGGTGACCAACTTTGATGCCTGAGAAAAAAGAAAAATACACATGCATTTTGAACTGTAGGCTAATGGAGTCATGACTAGGAGCTTTCTAGGGAATTTCTTAGCCAATTTAATATTTTTATGGCTTGTTCAAAATTTATAAGTGTGCCTTGCAGAAAACTTTGATAACACACTCAGGAGACATAATAAAGTCTCTTTCAACAATTTTTATAGATATTGTTAGGTGCTGTCGAGTTGATTTCGACTCATAGCAACCTATGTGACAGCGTAGTACTGCCCCATCGGATTTTCTGAGGAGCCCTGCTGGCGCAACAGTTAAGTGCTCAGCTGCTAACTGAAAGGTTGGCAGTTCCAGCCACCCAGCAGCTCTGTGGGAGAGAGACCTAGTGATCTATGCCCGTAAAGATTACAGCCTAGAAAACCCTATGGGCAGCTCTACTCTGTCACATGAAGTTTCTATGAGTCAGTACTGCCTCAATGGCACCTAACAACAACAACAAATCTTTATGGGAGCAGATCGCCAGGTCTTTCGTTTTTGGAACTGCTGGGTGGGCTCAAACAGCAGCCCTTTAGGTCAGCAGCCAGGCGAACACTTTTACAGTTGCACCACCAGGGCTCCTTCCTTACAGATTAAACCAAAAAAAAAAACCAAACCTGGTGCCATCGAGTCAATTCTGACTCATAGCAACCCTGTAAGACAGGGTAGGACTGCCCCATAGGGTTTCCAAGGAGCACCTGGTGGATTCGAACTGCCAACCTTTTGATTAGCAGCCAAACTCTTAATCACTATGCCACCAGGGTTTCCTCCTTATAGATTAGAGCATTGCATATCAAATTTTCAAAAGTTTTCCATGAATTTCAATAAATTCATTCATCTTCCCTTGAAATTGACATATGCAACTATATTAAATATTTAGAACTCGTGAGTTGAAGTATAAAATCAAACCACTTACTTGAAATCTAGATGTTCAGTTAGCACATATCCATCTATAGAAACAAAACTCACTATTACTAATCTGAAAGCTATAGAGACAATGCTTTAATTTTTTTTTTTTAGCAGTCATTGAAATTTTATGGGTGATAGGACAATAAACTTACATTTGCCTTCAGAATTGCGACATATCACTAGATTCTGTTCAGTAATATCAATGACTTCCAGTTCTTCTCCAGGGGTTATTGGCAAATCAAGTATTCCCCTTCTTGAATTACTGGAACATGCCACTGCTGTGTTGATGACAGTAATCTCTTTGTCATACTGAAATGAGAAATAACTGATCAGACCATGCTTGCATGGTTTTTATTATTTTCAATTATAAAAAAATTAATGAAGGACATAATAAAGTAACCTCAAAATAAACCCAGGATGCTAGATATTGATTGGTTAAATAACATCTAAGAGAACAGAAAATAATAGCAAGATATGCAGTGAAAGGAATGTAATTTAAGGGAATAATAGTAAAATGCCACCGTTTTACATTTAATATGATTATACTTTCATTTATACTATCTGATTGTACTAGAGTGAATCTTGGTGGATGAAAAGGCTGTAATGTGTGGGTATAAATTAAGTACTGTGGACAGTATGTTAACTGTTTCAATATAAGGTTACCACCAAACCAAGGAAAAGAGAAAGAGAGTGAGTGAGTGAGCAAGAGACAAAGAAAACCTCTTATGCCTGTATAGTGCCTTAGAGTTTATAATGTTCTTTCATACCTACCATTTCTACATGACACTGTCTTTCTACCCTACCTTTCTGGGTAGGCGTATATTTGCTTATATGTGTTGATAGCACATGTACTTTAAAGTACTGGTAATGGGGTGTATGGGGCAATTCCCACTCTCCTTCTGTGGTCAACAGCAGACAGGAAACAACTGATGAGAAATTCAATTTATGATCTCAGGGAATATTTTTCTGTGTAATCAGCTAGCTTGCCTATACATGTACAGATACATCACCTTCTAATATATTGAAATCTATTGGCCAGAAAAAAACAGTTCCAGAATATCTAGATTATATTTTCAGATGTCTGCTCCACTAAATTAGGGTGACCAAACATCTGTCCTTGCCTAAGACAGTCTGTTTACAATTCTTATCTTTATTTATAACTACTTATGATGATGATTAAGAGTACCTTCTTCCACTCTCAGAAGTGTCCTAAATTTGGATGATAAATTATAAGATCACCCTACATCAAATGGGATCTATCCACAAGGTAGATTTTTCTTTCACCTACCAAAGTAATAGCTTCCTACCTGGTCTTCTTGCCCTTTCCAGGCCATTGTTCACTCTGAAGCCACAGTGATTTCTTAACATGCAAGTCTGATTAGGTCAACCTCCTATTTATAAAGTTCTAAAAACTCTGTTGCTTTCAGGATAAGGTCTACATTTCTAAGCTTGGCATTCAAGGTCCTTTGCATACTCTCATTTCCCATTTCCCCATCCCTGTCTCCTTCATTGAAGCAACATCAAGCTGTATGATAATTGTTGAACACACCATGCACCATTCATACTTCCACGCCATTGCCCATGCTGTTTCCTGTGCCTGAAATACTCTTCTTTTACAATTTTGCATGAAGACTTTTATGACTACCATGTATAATTTACTGTTCCAACTGCACTTTGTATATATTCCTGTTATAGCATTTAATATACATATTATTCATTAAACAAATGGAGGGTCATTTATTTTGTATCCTCAATGCCTGGTACTAATGAAGTACCCAATAAATATTTTGTGATTTGAGCTGAATAAAAATTATTGAAATCGTGTAGTTTTTCCAATGGTATATCAAAGAAACCCACCACATATAATATGGAAAAATGGAATCATGCATTATGGGAAATGGAATTTCTTCCATATGATATTAGTCACAAATACAGTGGGGGAAAACAACCAGATGGATGTAAGAGTCTTTTTACATCATCATTTTTCAACTATTCAAATAACATCATGGTTTTCAGGATATAATTTCATTTCATAACTTCTAGATGTAGTAACCCTAACCAGTTTTTGTCTGAATAGGAGTTATTAATGACTATAAGGGATTTGAGTATATTCCTATTTCAGTTCAGTAACATTTTTGGATGTTTAGAAAGTGTTAGATGGTCTTATTCTGCTCTGCAAGGGACATTTGAAGATAAATAAGATAACCCTTGTCCGCTAGGATCTCATAATTTAATATGATGAACAGGTAATTACAATAATGTCAGTGTTTTGTGATAAGCTAGAGGTTAGCTCTGAAAGGGCCATTTCTTTAATCAGGAGCTTTTGCAAGTCTTTTCAAAAGTTCCACATTGTCAAATGGGTAAAGTTTAGGCTTCTTAACATAGCATATAAAGCTCTTCATGTCATGATTCTTGCTCATTTTTCTGGTTTCATCTCCTGCTACTCTTCGCCTTGCACTTTGTGCTTTGGCAACAACTGCTCATAGTTCTGTCCCTTGAATGGACCTCCACCTCTAGTCACACTATTTCACATCTTTAGGTGTTTTTTGGGCTGTTCCCATTTTTGGCATATACTTGACACTTTTCTCCATTTATAAAGCTCTTGTTCAGTTATCAAGATTCAGTCCCGGCATCTCAAAAGGGAGGGTCATTTGAACTTTAGAATAATGGAAAAGTGCTCCATGGACTGTCAGTGACATGGAACTTCAGATGTTGCTTCCGTCATCCAGTTATTCTTCTCTTATTTGTCATTCATTCATTCACCAAACACTACTGTGTGTCTAGTTGTATGTTGGGAGCTGGAGAACAAACTTGAATGAGAAGATTTTTCCTTCAAAAGAGACTCAAGAGTTTAGGATACACACACACACACACACACACACACACACACACACACAAGCTATACTGAAATTGTTTTGTGTTATATAAGACATGGAGCCCTGGTGGTACAGTGGTTGAGAGCTCAGCTGTTAACCAAAACGTCTGCAGTTCCAATCCACCAGCCACTCCTTGGAAACCCTATGGGGCAGTTCTCTGTCCTATAGGGTTACTATGAGTCGGAATCGACTCAATGGCAACAGGTTTGATTTGGTTTTTTAATACAAGATATATTCATAATAGATATATAAAATGTGCTGAGGGAGTAATTTTCCTGGGGGAGTTAGGGCTGTATTTGAATAGAGCCTTAAAGAACAACTTATCAATTCTTGTAGACAGAAGGAATAGCATTTGCAAAGTCATGGTAATATAGAAATGTATCTGGAAAAAATCAAAATAAGATGTCATTTTTTTAACCAAAGATCATGTCTGTATCTCAGGGAGGCAGAGGCACAGCACACTTACAGAATCTTTAAAAATGGTTGTTGATATTGCTATTTTTTACTGTCAGATGTGAACATACCTCAAATCTTTCTCTGAAAAGTTTTTCTTCCTTTTCCATTTTCTTTTCTAAGTTTTGCTTCTTGATTCTGAAGAAATTTCTAGGAGATAAACTAGCAAGAAATATGCATGTAAGGTTAAATGTACTTTATTAAAATTCTAAGTTTCCAAGTCTATGAAATTATTCTACTTCAGGATAAATTCAGGTATAATTATACATATAATTATACATACTCATATCCACTGGAGCAGAGATTGCCAAAACAACTGAACAGGGTAAGCAATACCAATTGCTTCTCCCCCATAATTGAAATATATATATATATATATATTGCAAGATAGTAATGTGCAATAAATTAAAATTGGTCAAATAATTTACGTAAATAAGAAACTTCTATGGAACAGACTCAGAAGAATAATTACACTGTTACAAAAAAAAAGACAAGAAATTTAAGGAAATTTATAAATCTTCCCATTTACCTCCAGATTAATTAAACAGAAATCAGTAAGTGCAGGTAAGGGACTAACATTTTGTGGATTTCTAACTTTTCTAACCTAGTTGGGAAATCACAAATATATGTAAAGAACTGTTCTATTTGTTGAGTGATTTTGGAGGATAGAATTAAGAAAATAAAGAAGATGCCACAAGACATGTGCAAGAATTTTGGCACAGAAAAGTGGACAACCCTAGAGCAGAAGCTGATTATACTCTTACTCTTCCCTTTTCCTCCCTCCTGCTGCTCACATGGGGTTTGGTGCTGCCTTTTAGCAGTTTAATGTATTGAAAGAGGAAAAGAAACCACCAAACCCTGTCACTTTTATTCAGAGTGTCTCCTACATCTGTTTCCTTCTATTTAAGACTACAGCCACCACCATATTTCAGGCTATCACAATTTCTTGCCTGGAATATATCTTTCTCTTGCCTTCTTCTAATCAATCTCCATACCTGCCTCTAGGGTTGTCTTTCTAAAATTTAATTGAGCTTGCCCTTCTCTTGCTTAAAACCTTTCAATGGCTGTCTACTACCTGTAAGATAAAGTCTAAATTCCTTAGTGTTGTACACAGGGGATTTCATAATCTGGCCCCAATCTACCTTTCTAGCTTATTCAGCTGCCCTTTTCCAACACATACAAAGTCTTCGTGGGATGTCTTACGAGGGCTATCCTTTCCATGTCTTCATACCTGGGATACCCTTCCCTAACTTCTCTCAAAACTTGTCATCATCTTGATTAACACAAGGATAATAAAATTATTGATACTAATATAGAACGTTGTTTTACCCATTGGTAGAATAATTTATGGTACAAACTAGTTAATAAGGAACAAACAGCATGAGAAATTGATATATCAATCTACAGGAATGATAGCCTCAATATTGTGTTTTCAAACTTACCACATATTCAAGTTTACTCAGTTTAGAATATAAGTTTTTTTTTGGTAAGAAATCAGCACTAGAAAATTGTTTCCTGAAAATAATTAATTGTAGTCATCAAAATACTAAAAAGCTTTTTTTTTTTTGGTCAAAAAAATTTCACTGATATTTCTTCCTTAGAGTTCTGTTTTGCTATGCTCTGCAAAAGTATGTAAAATTATGTAACAGTATGAAGAATTCAACTACTAGAAGCTTAAGGTAGAAAGTTGGTTTCTAGTGAAAAAAACAAAGTTCCTTCCACCTTTGGAAAAATAAATTACATCAAATCTAAACCCAAAGAAAATAAACTTAAGGGAAGGGCCATCCTATGCCATCCTCTGAGCTTGGATTTGGCACAGAATGATGTCTGATTTCTTTTGTGGTGCCCCAATAAGACTTTTCTAGATCAGTTTCCCAGACCAGACAGACTACCACACAGTGGTTACAGCTCAGTGACTATTTAGACAAGGATTTCCCCAAGACATTTGTTAAACCAAATATATCAGATCCTGCTCCATATCCTAGCAATTGAGGAGGACAATGGTGCACAGAACACTAAGTAATCATCTGAGACAGTAAATAAACATCACCTGCCCCAACAGCAGACTGGAAGCTTGAATCACATGAATGAAAGTTAAGACCGTGAGTCAACAAAACATTCTTTTCTTAATTCTAACACCGTTTCTAAAATTTCTAAAATTCTAAAATCGTTTAGTCAGAATTATATTGTATTGTAGGGAAATCACTCTTACTGTATGGTAACTAGTCTCTCTTTTCTCAAAGTTTCATTTCAGTTCTAACTGGAGAGTTCTATTTAAGTTCTGTCCTGTAGGGAAATAGTTCTTATAGCCCTAAAAGACTGGATGTTTTTCATTGATAAAGGATATCTTGAAATTTTGCCACACCACAAGTAGAGACAATGATGAAGAAGGTATATGTGTTTGGTGCTTTACATTTTCAGATTTTTTGTCTCTTTCAATTCTCTCAACTGTTCTATGATGTAGGTGTTGTTATTCTCACTTTGCAGATGAGGAAACTGAGAATCAAATTTAATGATTTGCCTAAGGTCAATTTATACTCATTACACAGGTAGTAAGAGGTATAAATTGTAGCAAATAAGCTGTAATTTAAGGCATCTGTGTTCCTACCTTTCTGATTCTTCAGCAGCTTTTTTCCCTTTGTTTTCCTTTGGTATCAAAAACTTGGTCTTCCAAGTTTTCAATTTATCTTCTTCTCTGAGGAGAAAAATATTTTGAGCAAGTAAATTAAGCCTGAATTATTAAACATTTATAGAACTACCAACACTTTGTGTGTGTGTTTTACCAAAAAGTTAAAAAGTTATTTATATAAGTATATTTTGATAGTCTACAGCAAGGACCAGATAATAAATATTTAGGCTTTACAGGTCATACTGTCTCTATCACAACTACTCAACTCTGCTGTTGCAATGCAAAAGCAACAATAGACAATATGTAAATAAATGAGGATGACTGTTTTTGTAAAATCTTATTTACAAAAACAAGTAGTAGGCTGAATTTGAACCACAGGCCATAGTTTGCTGAACTCTGATCTATGGTGATCCAAATTTGAAATCTTAAGCAAGAAACCAACTTGTTTAGAATTGCACTTCTTTTCCTTTCTGAACATCAGTTACTTCACCTCTAAAACGAGGATAATGCCAACCTTTGCCATGGGACAAGACTGAATGAACTAGTGTTTAGCACTAGAGTATCTGTGCAGAGGAGGACGCAGGGAGGGGAGAAGGTATTATAGAAAGGACTAATACTTTTTGCACACCATGTGTCAGGTCTTATGCTAGGCATTTTACATATGTTAACTAATTTGATTTTCACAGTAAGCATTTCAACAATCCTTTAAAATAGTAATTTACAAAATTTCATAAAGGAGAAAATGGATGATCAGAGAACTAGGTAACTTATCATGGTCACAAAAATAGTTGGTGGCTTTGAACCTAGGTTTGTCTGACTCTAAAGTCTATGGTCTTTCACCATACCTGCTATTTCAAAAATATTTCTTCACTTAGAATCACAGTTACTAATATGTCCATCACTGACACACAGAATTTGCATTTCTAACAAGCTCCCAATTGATGCTGCTGCTGCTGCTTAGGGACCAATTCTGAGAACCAGTAGTAGAGCAGTGGTTCTCCAAATTTATTATACATGAGAATCACCTGGGGATCTTGTTAAACTGTAGATTCTGATTCAGTATATCTGGGGTGGAAAGGCAAATGCTCAGCAGAGTTCGAACCAGAATGAACCCATTCCAAAGCCTTGTTTTCTTTACTGAATATAAAACAATATATGCTGATTATTTTAAAAATTGGAAAAAGTAGAAGTAGAAAAGAGACAAAATAGCATAATCTAACCAAAGACATCCAAGTTTCCTTCTAAAAGTTTGTCCAAGCACTTTTAAAAACTAAATTGAGATAATATAGTGCACATATGTTTTGCATTCTGCTATTTTTCAATTGTCATTATAGGGTCAGCACTTCTCCATGTCATTGAAAACTATTTATTATATATTTAAATAGTCTGTTGAGTAGGAGCCTAAAATATACTTAGCCCATTTCTGTACATTTGACCATTTAGATTGTTTTAAACATCTTTCTTTTAAAAATAACCCTGAGATAGACATTTCTGTGTATAAATGTTTTTTCTTCCATTTTCATTAGAGAAAATTCCTTGGAATGAAATTACTGGGTTAAGTAAAAGGTATGGGCATTCTCGATACATATTGCCAAGTCATTCCTTCAGAAAAGTCATGCGAATTTATACTCATGCTAGCCATAAGTCAGTTATTTGCCTCTTTGTCAACTTATTTTAGCCTTTCTAGGGATCTTTTAGAGAGCTTAGTGGATTTGGCAGGTTAGGAATTGCTATCACCATTTCACAGCTTAGAAGCTAAGATTCAGTTGAGAAACAATGATGTCTGAATTGTGGCTGTAGAGTGGGGATCGAAGCAGCCCTGATGGCGAAATGGTTAAACACTCAGCTGCTAACCGAAAGGTTGGCGGTTTGAACCCACCCAGCGGCTCCACAGGAAAAACACCTGGCGATCTGCTCAAGTAAAGATTACAGCCTAGGAAACCTGGTGGGGCAGTTCTGCTCTGTCACATGGGGTCACTATTAGTCAAAAATCGACTCGACGACACCTAAAAACAACAACAGTGGGAATGGAAAAGCATGGGAGGAGGAGTCAAGGACAATGCCTAGGGTTTTGGTTTAGGCAATTATTTGTTTATCGGAACAATCATAGAGATTAGAGGAAAGAGACAAGATTAGGGTGGGGTGGGTTGAAATGATGTGTTATTATGGACATTCTAAGTTTCAGTTGTCTCTCTGGACTTTCAGATTGAGTTATCCATCAGGCTTATTAGCTCTCAGGAGAGAAATAAATCTGATCTCAAAATGTAATTTTTTAAATCATCACCATAATGATTATAATTGAAGCCCTGGGTATGGATGAGATCATTCTAGAAGAGTATATGAAGGAATAATATAGAAGAGAAGTGACATAGCAAATCTGAGGCACACATAATATTTAAGAGACGAGTAGTGGAATTAGAACTCACAAAAAAAATTTAGGAAGAACAGCCAAAGATGAGGAATAAGAAATAATGATAACACAGAAACATAGGCAAAAATTACTATTTTTTTCCTTAGAAGGATGGCATAGTTAACATTTAAGATATTTCAGAGAAACCAAGTAAGATAAAGACTTAAAAGTATCCATTAGATTTAACAAAAGTAATTAGTGACCTTACAAAGTAATTTCACTGGTATAATGTTGTTGTTAGATGCTGTGATGGTTAAGATTGTGTGTCAACTTGGCTGGGCCATGATTCTCAGTATTTTAATGTAATCACTCCCAGGATTGAATATACTGTGAGTAGCCAATCAGATGAAAGGGCGTCTCCTTGGGGGTGTGGCCCGCATCTGTATATAAGCAGATGTTCTGGCTTTTTGCTCTCTCTGGATCTTGCGGCTGCTTCCTGTCGTCTCATCTCCCGTTCTTGGGCTTGAGCTGTCAGCTTATCTGCCGTACCTGGGATTCGTCCAGCTGCACAGCCTGTGAGCAGGAGCCCTGCTCTCTGACTTTCCGATCTTGGGCTTGCCAGCTTCTGCCGCTGTGTGACTTGGGAGAAGCCTCTACCCTGATCCACGGACTTGGGATGTTCTAGCCTCTACAATCACGTAAGCTGTTTCCTTGATATAATCTCTCTCTGTATATATTTATACACCTTACTGGTTTTGCTTCTCTAGAGAACCCAGCCTAAGACAGATGCCGTTGACTCAGTTCTGACTCATAGCAACCCTATGTACAACAGAATGAAACACTTCCTGGTCCTGCGCCATCCTCACAATCGTTGTTATATTTGAGCCCACTGTTGCAGCCACGGTGTCAATCCATCTCACTGAGGGTCTTCCACTTTTTCACTGACCCTATACTTTACCAAGCATGATATTCTTCTCTAGGGATTGGACCCTTTTGATAACATGTCCAAAGTATATGACATGAAGTCTCACCATCCTTGCTTCTAATGACTGTTTCTGGCTGAACTTCTTTCAAGACAGATTTGTTCTTTCTTCTGGAACTCCATGATATATTCAGTATTCTTCACCAACACCATAATTCAAAGGTATCAATTCTTCTTTGGTCTTCCTTATTCACTCCCCAGCTTTCACATGCAGATGAGGTGATTGAAAACTCCATGGCTTGGGTCAGGCGCACCTTAGTCCTTAAAGTGACATCTTTGCTTTTCAACACTTTAAAGAGGTCTTTTGCAGCAGATTTGCCCAATGCTATGCCTCATTTGATTTTCTGACTGCTGCTTCCATGGGCGTTGATTGCGAATCCAAGTAAAATGAAATCCTTGGCAATGTCAATCTTTTCTCCATTTATCATGATGTTGCTTATTGGTCCAGTTGGGATTTTTGTTTTCTTTATGTTGAGGTGTAATCCATACTGAAGGCTGTGGTCTTTGATCTTCATCAGTAAGTGCTTCAAGTCCTCTTCGCTTTCAGCAAGCAAGTTTGTGTCATCTGCATATCACAGGTTGTCAGTGAGTCTTCTTCCAATCTTGATGTCATGTTCTTCTTCATATAGTCCAGCTTCTTTGATTATTTGTTCAGCATACAGATTGAATAAGTATGGTGAAAAGATACAACCCTGACACACCTTTCTTTAATTTTAAACCACACAGTATCCCCTTGTTCTGTTTGAACATCTGCTTCTTGGTCTATGCACAGGTTCCCCATGAGCACAATTAAGTGTTCTGAAATCCCCATTCTTCACAATGTTATACATAATTTGTTATGATCCATACATGCCTTTGCATGCCTTTGTATAGACAATAAAACATAGGTAAACATCTTTCTGGTATTCTCTGCTTTCAGTCATAATCCATCTAACATCAGCAATGATACCCCTTGTTCCTCGTGCTCTTCTGAATCCAGCTTGAATTTCTGCTGTTCTCTGTTGATGTACTGCTGCAATCACTTTTTAATGGTGTTCAGGAAAATTTTACTTGTGTGTAATATTAATCATACTGTTTGATAATTTCTGCATTCTGTTGGATCATCTTTCTTTGGAACGGGTACAAATATGGATCTCTGCCAGTCAGTTGGCCAGGTAGCTGTCTTCCAAATTTCTTGGCATAAACTAGTGAGCACTTCTGGCACTGCATCAGTTTATTGAAACATCTCAATTGGTATTCTGCTAATTCCTGGAGTTTTGTTTTTCACCTATGCCTTCAGTGTAGCTTGGACCTCTTCCTTGTATCATCAGTTCTTGATCATATGCTACCTCCTAAAATGACTGAATGTCAACCAGTCTTTTTGGTACAGTGACTCTGTGTATTCTTTCCATCTTCTTTTGATGCTTCCTTCGTCATTTAATGTTTTACCTGCAGAATCCTTCAATTTTGCAACTCGAGGCTTAATTATTTTTCTTCAGTTCTTTCAGCTTGAGAAATGCCGAGCATGTTTTTCTCTTTTGGTTTTCTATCTCCAGGTCTTTGCACATTTCATTATAATACTTTACTTTGTCTTTTAGAGCCACCCTTTGAAATCTTCTGTTCAGCTTTTTTACTTCATCCTTTCTTCCTTTTGCTTTAGCTACTCGACACTCAGAGCAAGTTTCAGAGTCTCTTCTGGTATCCATTTTGGTCTTTTCTTTCTTTCCTGTCTTTTAATGACCTCTTACTTTCTTCATGTATGATATCCTTAATGTCATTTCACATCGGTCATTAGTGTTCTATGCATCAAATCTATTCTTGAAATGGTCTCTAAATTCAGGTGGGATATACTCAAGGTCATACTTTGGCCCTTGTGGAATTGTTCTAATTTTCTTCAACTTCAACCTGAACTTGCATATGAGCATCTGATGGTCTGTTCCACAGTTAGCCCCTGGCCTTGCTCTGACTGATGATATTGAGCTTTTCTATCATCTCTTTCCACAGATGTAGTTGATATTATTCCTGTGTATTCCATCTGATGAGGTCCATGTGGATAGTCGCCACTGATGTGTTGAAAAAGGTATTTGCTATGAAGAAGTCGTGGGGCTTGCAAAATTCTATCATGTGATGTCTGGTGTCGTTTCTATCACCAAGGCTGTATTTTCCAACTACCAGTCCTTTTTTTCCAACTTTTGCATTCCAGTGGCCAGTAATTATCAATGCATGTTGATTGCATGTTCAATCAATTTCAGACTGCAGAAGTTGGTAAAAGTCTTCAATTTCTTCATCTTTGGCCTTAGTGGTTGGTGTGTAAATTTGAATAATAGTCGTATTAACTGGTCTTCCTTGTAGGAGTATGGGTATTAGCCTATCACTGATAGTGTCATACTTCAGGATAGATCTTGAAATGTTCTTTTTGACAATGAACATGACACCATTCCTCTTCAATTTGGCATTCCCTGCATAGTAGACCATATGACAGTCTGATTCAAAATGGCCAACACCAGTCCATTTCAGCTCACTAATGCCTAGGATATCGATGTTTATACACTCCATTTAATTTTGGCTACTTCTAATTTTCCTAGATTCATACTTAGTACATTCTATGTTCCAATTATTAAAGGATGTTTGCAGCTGTTTCTTCTCATTGTAAGTCGTGCCACTTCAGCAGATGAAGGTCCAGAAAGCTTGACTCTATACACCAGTGGTATTTTGAATACCTTCCAACCTGAGGAGCTCATCTTCCGGCACTATATCAGACAATGTTCCACTGCTATTCATAAGGTTTTCACTGGCCGATTTTTTCAGAAGTAGACTGCCAGGTCCTTCTTCCCAGTTCATCTTAGTCTGGAAGCTCCACTGAAACCTGTCCACCATGTTTGACCCTGCTGGTATTTCAAATACTGTTGGCAAAGCTTCTAGTATCTCAGCAACACGCAAGCCCCCACTGTACAACAAACTGACAGATGGTACAACCAACTGGTATGATAGGAACAGAAATCTAATTGCAGTGAGCTGGGAAGGTAAGTGGAAAATGAGTAAAGGAGATCTTTATTTTTAGCCATTTGGTTGAGACAGGAAGGACATAACATAGAGAGCAGGCATCGAGTTTAAGGATGGTTTCTTTTTTGATAGATTATAGTCATTTAGTCCTTGATAACAGAAATTCTGTCAAATAGTGTTTGTTATCCCCAATGTTGCCTTATACATAGCAGGCTACCAAATAAATGTTTGTTGGGTTGAAACAAGTTCCAACTCTGTTAGATCCAAAGATAAGCAACAAAAACAGATTACAAAGCTCCAGTGACTTTTGAATCACCTACCACTGTTGGATTATTTATGTTGTCCATTTGTTCCCTTCTTAGTGGGAGGAAAATCACAAGTTGAATTTTCATCCAATCTCTGAGGATCTTGAAGAGATGGTCCTCCAACCATATTTAATAAAGCATCAGAAAATAGGTTAAATATCAGCAGGGATTACCAATGAGGTAAATTGACTTACTTTGACTTTCTTTCAGGAATGTCCACATCATCATAGATTTTAACTTTCCGAGACCTAAATTCTGGGCTCAAGGTAGGATTGAAATACTCCGTTAGTGGGTATGGTTTATAAAATCCCCAGCCTTCCAAATTATACACAATCACCTAATTATCCAGGCACATCCCCAAGCTTGTTTTACTAAAATCTAATCATAAAATACAGATAGGCTGGGAGGATAAAAGAACAAAAAGATTCTTCATTTGGGAAGAAATTCAGCTGAGGATTAAAAACACAGTGAGATGTCCAAGTATATCAAATACACACCTATATATTTATATCAATTTGATTTCATGCAGGCTTCCAGAAAAATGTCACTTGGTAAAAGAATCATTTTTAGACCAGGTTCCCATCTTCCTGGAACTGGACAAAGATGTTATACTACCAGAATAGGAGGGACTTTTCTTAATCCCCAAGGGGGGAAACAAACAATTAATAGAATATTAATGTTGATTTTTTCTTCCATGATTTTTATTTCAGACCATTGACAACTGCTCTTGTATAATAATCTTGCATAAAATGGGATATGACTTAGTACACAATCATAAGTAGGTGTTTTAAATTTAGAATATCCATATTCCTTCATGCTCCATATAGAATTCCATTATATTGGGGTAATTCACCACTTGAACAAGTTTGAAACCTCTGGCATAATTATTCATAAGTATTAACACTGCTTTAATTGTTTCCCAATGTCATTAAATGTGGATGAGGTACAACACATGCCTATTCAAAGTGTTTTTTTTTTTTTTTTTTTAACACATGCCAAGGATATACTGGGAGACTTGTGATTTTACCAGGTACATGTAATTTTTGTTTGTTATATAGTTCAGCAAGCTCATTTGTGGAATATGATATACGTTTGAATTGCCAAGTCAGAGTGAAATCAAAGTAGCCACCATGGCTGGAGCCCATAAACAAAAACCAATAAACAACAAAACACATGGCCCTCTTTTACTGACAAATTCCATTTACTAAACATGCATTGAGAGGATACCATGTATCAGGTGCTGTGCTAATTTATGCACTACTGTTTTAATGGTAAAGCCAACAATATTCTGATGATCTACCCTTGATTCAATTAGTGTGAAACATGATCACGTTCAAATTATTGTATCTTAATTAGGGTGATCTGGCTATCAAATCCTTCAAGAGGCTATGTGATATAATGTGAAAAGCATGGTCTTTGTAATCAGACGACTTGGGTACAAATCTGAGATCACTCAAATACAAGTAGTCCTCGACTTATGATGAGGTTTCGTTCTGACATCTCTGTGGTAAGTCGGTTCTGACAAAGTCGAATGCCTCAATTTATTTTTCATTATTATTACCTTTTATTATCAGTATCTTTATAAATCTGATCTTTATTTGTCTTTGGAGGTTGAAACATTACATATAAACTTACAGATATATTTAACATTGTATGTGGTACATAAACTGTAAAAAAAAACAAACACAACAACAGTCATAAGCGTGATTCATCGTAACTCGAATACATCGTAAGTCGGGGACTATTTGCACAGGCTGTGGGTCCTAGAGCCTCCCTAAAAACGGACTAAGGTGCGCTTGACCCAAGCCATGGTATTTTCAATCGCCTCATATGCATGAGAAAGCTGGACAATGAATAAGGAAGATCGAAGAAGAATTGACACCTTTGAATTATGGTGTCGGTGAAGAATATTGGATATACCATAGACTGCCAGAATAACAAACAAATCTGTCTTGGAAGAAGTTCAGCCAGAATGCCCCTTAGAAAGGAGGATGGTGAGATTTCATCTTGTATTTTGGACATGTTATCAGGAAGGACCAGTCTCTGGAGAAGGAAATCATGCTTGGTAGAGGGTCAGTGAAAAAGAGGAAGACCCTCAATGAGATGGATTGACATAGTGGCTCCAACAATGGGCTCCAGCATAGCAATGATTGTGACAATGCCATAGGACTGGGCAGTGTTTTGTTCTGTGGTACACAGGGTCGCTATGAGTCAGAACTGACTCGATGACATCTAACAACAACAACATCTATTTCTCTGGGTTTTTAAGAGGAATGCATCTACCACAGGACCTGGCATACAGTAGGCACTCAAGAAATGTAACTCATCTTCCCTAAAGTAAGAAATACTGTTGTGAAATAATATATCTTTGATGTATCAATTTTTCATTAAATGTGAGCAAGCAGAGAGGATGACCACTTCTCTTTCCCTGCCCCTGAATATACCAATGCTGAGTAGTACTGTGCCAGCAATAAGCAAATGTCACTTACCTATATCAGGCAGCGAGATGGAAAATTCACTGTTGATTGGCAAAAGACAAGAAAGGGTTAAGGGAAAAAAGCCATGTCCAGACAGATTAGTTGGTACCTCTCAAATAACATATGGATGATTAGATGTCTCAATACCGACAGGTGCTTATAGGGAAAGATGTGAAGCAAACCTCTCCTGTAACTTTGTTCTGATCACCCGCCCCGCACTGTCCTTTACTGGACTTTTTTACACCCAGTGACTGCCCATACCCCCTTTTCCTAGCTTGACAAGCTCAGGCTGCCCCACAACCTTGCCCTTCTCTATCCACACAAGCCTAATTCTGGCCTTCAAGATGCCAATTAGCTAATGAGATACATCCAGTGTGGGATAAGTATTGATGAGAGAGAACAAACCTACAGATTAATTAAAGAGGGACCCTCTGGAGACACTGCACCCTGTCTATGATATCTAAATGAAAGGAATGACTTAAGGTGAGAATTCTAGACCAGGTGGAAAAAGAAAACGGTAAATTGCTAAGTAGGAGAGAATACTTGGCCCAGGTGGATGGTCTGGTGTTCCTCAAATCTCACCGTTAAGGAGATCACATGGAAGGAAGTATGATGTGCCAAGAAAATACCCATGTATTTTAACATTTAGTTTAAGTTCAGTCCTACAGGTATTTTTGGAGCATCACTATGGACCAGGCCAATATACTGGGTATGTAAAATGATCAGACACAGTTTTTGCCCTGAAGTAGTTTGGGGCTTAGTGAGGGAGACCAAAAGTAAACTAATATAATACTCTATGATAAGTACACAATGTAGGAATATCCAGAGGAACAGCACCTTAGGGAAAATTAGCTAACCTTTAAGTCTCAATTTTTCATTTCTAGAACCAATACCAGAACCAACTTTACAAGGTTTTTGTTAAGACTGAATGAGCATACAAAGTGAATGTGCCTGGGACAGACAGTTCAATGACCCCTACTGTTACTGTCCATAAGAAGAGACTGAGTGTTGTTAGGCTGTAATATGCAGGATGGGGTAGAAGAAAGAACATAGTTATTGGAGTCAGACAGAGCTGAATTTGACTCCCATTTCTGCCACTTACCCAGTATGTGTCCCTGAGCAAGTCATATAACTTTGAAGCCTTAGTTTTTGCATCTGTAAAATGGAGATACAAGTTTCTGCCTCAATGAGTTAGTGTGAGGATTAGCTAGAACACATGTGAAGTACTTAGTATACTCCCTGCCCTCAACACCTGGTTAGTACTTATTCTTTGGATCTCTGCTCAAGGGTCATTTGACCAAGGAAGTCATTCTAAACACCAATCCCTTACTCCATTTTAAATTGGGTCAGAGTGCTGATAGATCCTCTTTAAATTTAGAAACGAAGGCCACAAAAAGATCTATCATGACACTTCCTCTAGATCATTTATTCATTCAATATATATTTATTGAGTGCCTACTGTATACAAGGCACTGTACTAGGTGCTAGAGACACAGCAGTGGACATAATAGTCAAAATAACTACCCTCAAGGAGTTAACAGTCTAGTGGGGTGAGGCACATAGAAAAAAAATTGATATTTGTTCTAAAAACCATAATGGTATATTATATAAAAAATATATGGTCATAAGTCCAATGGAGAAAAATTGAGCATAGTGAGGGGAACCGGGTGGGCTTGAGATGGGGGGCTGGTTTTCCATTTGTCTTAGGCTGGGTTCTCTAGAGAAGCAAAACCAGTAAAGTGTATAAATATATAGAGAGAGTGATTTATATCAAGGAAATGGCTCACGTGGTTATAAAGGCTGGAATGTCCCAAGTCCATGGATCAGGATAGAGGCTTCTCCTGATTCACGTAGCTGCAGGGGTTGGCAAACCCAAGATCAGCAGGTCAGAGAGCAGGGCTCTTGTTCACAGGCTGCAAAGATTGATGAATCCCAAGATCGGCAGACAAGACCTCAGTTAAGCTGTTAGCTGAAGTCCCAAGAACTGGAGGTCAGATGAACAGGAGCCAGCTGCAGGATCCAGTGCGAGCAAAAAACACACAAGCCTTTCCAGAATGTCTACTTATATTCAATGCAGGCCACACGCCCAAGGAAACTCTCCATCAACTGATTGGCTACTCATAGAAGATCCCCTCACTGAAGTGACAACAACATCTTATGACTGCCAAACCACTGAGAATCATGGGCCCAAACAAGTTGACACACAACCTTAACCATCACAGTAAACCCCTTGTCAATTTAGCACCTGTACACATCTCCTTAATCCATACATAATCTCTGAATAAAGACAATTATAAAGTCATACTTGCACCTAACATGATACAATGAACACACACAACCAAAAATGCATTAGCCCTGTTTACATCTTATATTTTATAAGTGAAGAAAACAAACATATTTGATGCACATGTACAAAGCAGAAATACTCATAACAATTACAGTCCTTGTTTCTGCAACTGGTCATGTGGTTGTAACTGGTATTTAAAACTATCTTCTTCCACCACCCATTCCATATTCTCTTTGCCCTCAGCAAGCACCTCAGCTGGTTGTGGTTCTTTGCCTGGTGGGGTGACCCAAACCTTCATTCCTGAAAGGTCTGGGCCATTAGCAGTCATGTTGGAATTGGGTTGCTGTAATTTTCCATTGACTTTAATCACAGGGCATGGTAGTACTAAGAGACGCCCCAAGGAATCTCCTGCATTCCAGACATACCCTTCTTTACCTCCATTATGTAATATCAATAAGGTTTCCTTTTGGTAATCAGGATCATCACACCAGCCAGTATGGTAACTCCCTTTTTGCCTGTTGATTTAGAGGCATAAGCAGCCCAAAGTGGCCAGGCGGCATTCTTAGCTTCCAGTTCAGATGGAATCAGTGATGTGTCTCCAGGTGGGAGCATTCCTTCCTTTGGAACTAAGACCTCTAAACCCGCAGAGAATAAGGTCATAGGGACAGAAAGCAAAAATCTTGTGAGTGGGTCACTACGTGTAGTAGTGAGTGGTGCCACTCCCATTTCCACCTCTTAATTCCTGGACCCATGAATCCTGGCTATGGGAGAAATAGCACCATATACTGGACCCTGGTTTAGAGCGTATACAGCCTCCTGGAGAACATTGCCCCAACCCTTCAAGGTATTGCCACCTAGCTGGTGCCGTAATTTTGTCTTTAGAAGCCATTCCATCATTCTATCAAACCAGCTGCTTCAAGATGATGGGGAACATGGTAAAACCAGTGAATTCCATGAGTGTGGGCCCATTGCTGCACTTCATTTGCTGTGAAGTGAGTCCCTTGATCCAAGGTGATACTGCGTGGGATACCATGATGGTGGATAAGGCATTCTATAAATCCACAGATAGTAGTTTTGTCAGAAGCATTGCATGCAGGGAAGGCAAATCCATATCCAGAGTGTTTATTCCAGTAAGAACAAAACACTGCCCTTTCCATGATGGAAGTGGTCCAATGTAATCAACTTGCCACCAGGTTGCTGGCGGATCACCTCGAAGGATGGTGCCATATCGAGGACTCAGTGTTGGTCTCTGCTGGTGGCAGATTGGGCACTCAGCAGTGGCTGTAGTCAAGTCGGCCTTGGTGAATGGAACTCCATGTTGCTGAGCCCTTGCATAACCTCCATCCTTGCCACCATAGCCACTTTTTTTCATGAGTCCATTGAGCAATCAAGGGAGTAGCTGGGGAAAGAGGATGACTGGTTTCCACAGAATGCATCATCCTATCCACTTGATTGTTACTATTCTCTGCTGAGGTCACCCTTTGGTGAGCATTCACATGGAACACAAATATCTTCACTTCTTTAGCCCATTCAGAGAGGTCTATTCACATACCTCTTCCCCATACCTCCTTGTCTCCAATTTTCCAATCATGTTCCTTCCAAGTCTCTGACCATCCAGCCAAATCATTGGCCACAGCCCATAAAGCAGTATACATTCACACATCTGGCCATTTCTCCTTCCAAGCAAAGTGAACAACCAAGTGCATTGCTCCAAGTTCTGCCCATTGGGAGGATTTCCCTTCACCACTGTCCTTTAGGGAGGTCCCAGAAAGGGGCTGTAGTGCTGCTGCTGTTCACTTTCAAGTGGTGCCTTCATATGGTGCAGAACTGTCTGTAAACCAGGCATGAGTTTTCTCTTCCTCAGTCAACTGATCATAAGGAACTCCCCATAAGGCCATAGGTGCAGACTGGGAGATGGAAGGTAATGTGACAGGAGTGGAGATCATGGGCATTGGGACCACTTCCTCATGCAACTTACTTGTGCCTTCAGGTCCTGCTTGGGCCCGATCTCATATATGCCACTTCATTTAATGATGGAGTGCTGCTGTGCATGATCAAATTTATGACTTTGGGTCAGAAAACACCCAGTTCATGATGAGCAGCTCAGACCACACAGTGACTTGGTGTCCCATGGTTAAATGTTCAGTCTCTGCTAAGGCCCAGTAACAAGTCAAAAGCTGTTTCTGAAAAGGAGAGTAGTTTTCTGCAGACGATGGCAGGGCTTTGCTCCAAAATCCTAAGCATCTGTGCTATGATTCACCATAGTAGGGGTCTGTTAAAGACTTCAAACAGCATCACTATCTGCCACTGATGATTCAAGCACCATTGGATTGGCTGGATCATATAGCCCAAGGGGAAAAGCAGCTTGCACAGCAGCCTGAACCTGTTGCAGAGCCTTCTCTTGTTCTGGGTCCCACTCAAAACTAGCAGCTTTCTGAGTCACTTGATAAATAGGCCGGAGCAGCATGCCCAAATGAGGAATATGTTGCCTCCAAAATCCATAGAGGCCCTCTAGGCATTGTGCCTCCTTTTTAGTTGTGGGAGGAGCCAGATGCAATAACTCATCCTTCACTTTAGAAGGACTATCTCGACATCCCCCACACCACTGGACCTCTAAAAATTTCACTGAGATAGAAGACACCTGAATTTTTGTGGGATTAATTTCCCACCCTCTAGCATGAAAATCCCCCCCACATCTGTCAGTTTGTCATACTGTGGGGGCTTGCATGTTGCCGTGATGCTGGAAGTTATGCT